TTCCCGTTGGAGGTGCTGCTGGTGCTGGAGCTAGTGGTGCTGCAGGAGTTGGAGCTGGAGACCTTGGAGCTGGAGGTGCTGGAGGTGCCTCTGCTGGTTCTGGTGGTGCTGCACGGCCGCGGCCGTACTTCGTTCCACTCCTTCAGCAGGTTCTTGGTCTCCCGCCTTCTACTGGTCCTACTCCTCCCTTAGCATGTCCACCGCCTACCCAGTCGCACTCGCAGTTACTGCCAACCTTCCCAGTGCCTGCTCTTCTCCTTACAATGGACCGACCGGAGGTCTTACTGAGCGTCGTGAGCCTGCGTCTCGCCCTGCGTCACCTGTTCCCGCTGTTCGCACTAGTCGTCGTGTTCCGCGTCAGCGTCCTCCTCCTGTCCCTAGCACGCACCAGATGGCTCTGCGTCCTTCCACTGCTCCGCAGCGTGTCCCTCTGCCGTCTCCTCCTGCGTCCTCTCTTCCTGCCCTTGCTGACCCGGAGTCTGACTCCCTTCGTGCTGCTAGTCCTACTGTCAGACTGCTCCTGACCACTGTTGTCACTGACCCTTCCTTTGAGTCCACTGCTGCGTCTGCCTTAGTTGCTGAGCTTGTCGACTTTGCTGCTCACTGTCGTCTAGACTACGCCGCTAGTCTTGTTGCTGGGTCTGAGTCTGTCTGTCCTCCGTCCGTCGCGGGTGAGTGTGCACTTGGCACGGACGTCCTTGAAGACAGGCAGGAGGAGTTTCAGTATTTTGCCGAGGTTTTAACTCATCTCGTGTCCATGCTGCTTGCACCTGAGGGAGACCCGGATGCACCAGACATCCCGACCCCGCGCTCTTACGCTGAGGCGATAGAGGGTCCCTACTCCTCTCAGTGGCAGACAGCCATGGATGCAAAGATGGCTTCCTGGAAGTCCATAGGCACTTACGTTGACGAGGTTCCCCCACCTGGGGCGAACATTGTCGATGGCATGTTGATTTTCAGGGTGAAGCGGCCGCCGGGTTCTCCGCCTGTCTTCAAGGCGCGTTACATTGCTCGACGCTTCAATCAGCGACAGGGAGTTGACTTCTTCCAGACCTTCTCCCCCACCCCGAAGATGACCACTCTTCGGGTGCTGCTGCACGTTGCCGCTCAGCGTGACTACGGACTTCACTCTCTTGACTTCAGCACTGCTTTCCTACAGGGCAGCGTGCACGAGGAGATCTGGCTGCGCCGCCCACCTGGCTTCACTGGGTCGTTTCCTCCTGGTACCCAGTGGAGCCTCCGGCGGCCAGTCTACGGTCTCCGCCAGGCGCCTCGCGAGTGGCACGACACACTGATGACTACACTTGCGGCTCTTGGGTTTGCTCCTTCCACTGCTGACCCGTCGCTGTTTCTACGCACCGACACTACTCTGCCGCCGTTCTACATCCTTGTGTACGTCGACGACTTGGTCTTTGCCACTGCTGACACTGTAGGACTGGCTCACGTAAAGTCGGAGCTGCAGAAGAGACACATGTGCACAGACCTGGGTGAGCTGCGCAGCTATATTGGCTTGCAGATCACCCGGGACAAAGCACAGCGCACCATCACATTGACTCAGTCACACATGGTGCAGCAGGATCTTCAGCGCTTCGGCTTCACGTACTCCTCGCCACAGGCCGCTCCTCTGCCTACTCGCCACTCGCTCTCAGCTCTGCCTTCGGATGAGTCCGTAGAGCCGAGTGGGCCGTATCCAGAGCTTGTGGGCTGCCTCATGTACCTGATGACCTGCACTCGACCTGACCTCGCCTACCCTCTTGGCATCCTGGCACGCTATGTTGCTCCTGGGAGACACTGACTAGAGCACATGGATGCAGCTAAGAGGGTGATGCGCTACTTGTGCAGTACGTTGGGCATGAGGCTCGTGCTTGGAGGACGGGCTCGAGTTGTCCTCACTGGTCACGCAGACGCTTCTTGGGTTGACGACTTGGCTACGCAGCGGTTGTCACAGGGTTACACCTTCAGCCTTGGCTGCGCTACTTCCTTGCTCGAGAGTTGCAGCAGCGTGGTCAGCTTTGTATTGTTTACGTGGCCTCTCAGGCCAACACTGCTGATATCTTCACCAAGGCACTTGAGCCTTGTGATCATCAGCGTTTCCTACTGTTCTAGGCCTTGTGCCCACTTGGCCTCACTTGCTCACTTCTTGACTTTGCTTGTCCTGCATGCTTACACTTGCTAGGTTGTGATCTCTGTACTGCTTGTTTTCCTTTATACAACTCTGCATGTGAACTGGCCTTGTGGCCATTTGCTTGTGCTCAGAATGCGTGGTGACGTCGTGATCCACCCTGAGCTTCCTTTGCTTTTCTTGACTGGTCTTGTGACCTCTTGTTCTCCCCCATTTTGCCTTTGGGGGTGTGTCAAACTTATATGCTATAGTCTGTGTAGGTTGTAGTGGGGTAGTTCATATGGGGTACAACACTTTAGGGTTTCCTACTTGTACTCATGCTGCTCAATGCCATCATTCCTCGTTCTGTTTTCACATCCCCACCCCTTTGTGCAGTCCCCTTCTGCTGCGAAGTTCTAATTATGTTTCATCAGACCTCCTGTTTTGTTCTAGGCATTTGCCGAACGTGCAGCTGTAGACCAAGGGAGAGACCTGACGGGGGGAGAAGAGGGGATGCAAGTATGGATTTTTAGGCATTTCCGACCCTGCAGCTTCTGTTTTGACTTGCTTTTTTATAGGGCTTCACAGTTGCAATGTAGGCTTTGTTCATGTATTTATGTTTCTTATAAAGACGGGCCAAGTGTTGTCTGTTAACATGTTAGTAGGTATATTCTACGTGACAGTTATTTCTATGAGGTTGTATGTACATGATTGTAATACATGCAGATTACAATTCTGGGATTATTATTGTATTATATATAGATTCTTTAGTGATAAGGAACGAATCATCGAATTCCTAGATGGTGGAAAGTTGATTGTTTGAATTTTACAAAATATGAAATTAATCATCCACAGTGTACGTTGTAAAAAGTAATTGTTTCCAGTGTACTTGAATGTTATCGAATATGTAGGTATCAATACTAATAACCAGCTGTTCAATAAAATCACAAACAATGCACGAGCGGTATAGGCATCTGAAGCATAAAATTTGTCTAGGCGATCTATATTGTTTGCGCAATATATCAAGATTATTTGGAAGCTGGCTAAGCGAATCGAAATAGCCCACACGTAGCAATGAAACACAATTCCAGCCTATGCGGGAAGACATGACGCCAAATCTCGATGCGCGACCTCCAGCTTCGAACCAATCAAATGACTTGCTGAACCTCAACCCGAGTTACCTGGATTGGTTCCCAATAGTTAGGGAAATCGCAGCCTGCGACCTTGAGTGAGTCGCATCTAAAAGCAAGTTCACCAGTAACTTCTGCTCCAATTAGTTTTTGGCCCTCGAAAGTTGAACCCGTCAATTTTCGGATGTACGGGTACTTTTACGTACTTCGAGCAGGAATGTATACATTCCTCGTTTATTCGCAATGCTCACTAAC